TAAATAAATAAATGCTGATGCATGAATATAACGAACTATTAACTCAAGTTGAAATTGCAGACTTGATCAATAGAATGAACTAGGGCCTCATTGATTGTATTATGACTCAACTGATAGCACTGATCACTATCACCATAGATAAAAATCATTTTTTTCACTGAAGTTCTGTACGTAGTCTAGGCCATCATGGAGTTTGCTAGCATCATAGATACTAATGCTAGCAAAAATATCAATGCTGCTAGGTCGGTCAGGTCCGTGGTCATTAACGCGAGGTCCGTACTTTAGTCTTTTCGGGTCCCTTGGTCGGGTCCATAAATTAGTTTGTATCGGGTCCGTCGCTCGGTCCGTAAATTAGTCTTTTCGGGTCCGTTGGTCCGGTCCGGTCCGCTTTTTAGGGACAACCCCACTTTAAAAGTGGGCATGGCCAAATCGGCGGCGCGCTTCGCGCGCCCTTTTCTCAGTGCTCATAGCCTACCCCTTCCTTTTTTTCTCCCTACGCCCTTGATATCATATGTGTAATAGACAACAGGAAATATTGTACAAACACTCAATTTATTAGCAGAATGGCCCATGGATGTAACTAATGTTTTATCCAATAAGTGAGTTACAAGTTAACATGATTTATAATGTTTCACAATGCACATTTTAGTATAATCCAGTCATTCGAAGAATTCATACGGGTTCTATTTAAACAGGAAAATTTGACAGTGATTAAAATTGCTGAAGAAAGCATTTTGTTTAGAGCAGAAAGAGTAAGACTCTTGCATTTGCTACATATAATGATTGATTATAATGAAAATAGGTTGCAAGAGCTAATTTTAATGAATTAACAATATCAGCCAGTGCTTTTAGTAAGTATTTGTACTAACACAAAATCATATATAAAAATATGTTATTATTGATAGATATCGTACTAAATTTTAGTACTTCTGACAATTTGAGTTCTTTGGCATCTATTGCAAAAGTGATTTTACCAAAGAACATTAAACATGTTACGAAGAGTGAGAACATTGATGTAGCATCAACTTTATACAAGAAAGCAAACTTCTTTCCAGTCCATGAAGAAGTGAACTCTTCATCATCAGTAATGACAGTGGTAGGTTCAGCTGTTATCAGCCTATAATAGTTGGTGGGATACCTGATGGTACTGAACTGATTGATCCAGTTACAGCCATTTTAGCATTAAATGAAGAATTAAGGTTATCATGTGATAAGTATATTTTATAAACTATTATTCATAGAATGTTACAAATCCTCGTTGTGCTTTCTGGAACTTTACTGGAGCAGGTAACTAATGCTATGTATTTTTTATAGTTTGATTTTGTTGCTTTATTCAGATGGTATTGGTAATTGGTCTATTGATGGTTGTACTACAGTAGTTGATCCTAATGATCTCAGTAGTGTCACTTGTTACTGTGATCACTTAGCCAAATTTGCATTGCTTGTTGTAAGCTTTAATAAATACTGTATGTTCAATGTTTATCAATAATTCTGTTAGGATATATCTACTAGGACTGGTAATGGTACTTCTCCTCCATTTGGTGTTAGAGTTGGATTGGAAGTAATCACTTATGTTGGAGTGTGTGTCTCATTGGTTGGACTGATCTTAACAATCCTAACATTGCTGGTATTCAAGTATGTGTACATGTCAGTCTTAATTGATGTTTAAAGGTATCTTCAATACATGTAATAGAAAATTAAGAAAGAAAGATTCCAGCAAGTTTCACATTCAGCTATGTCTCTCATTGTGCTTTGTGCTAATCATATTTATCACTGGAGTTAGTAGAACATCAGTGAGGCCACTTTGTATAAGCATAGGAGCTCTTATACATTACTTCACTCTTGTTTTCTGGATGTGGATGGGAGCAGAAGCTGTGCTGATGTTCCAAAAAATAGTAATAGTGTTTACAAACATAACTTGGCGATATATATTAATAGTGTCTATTGTTTGTTGGAGTAAGTGAACATTGATTATTCCTTGTAATTCATACTCTTGAAGGTGTACCGCTAATACCAGTAGCAGTCTTATCAGGCATTGATTATAACTACTACATTACACTAAACATGAACTCAGAATTGTAAGCATCATCTCATTAATTGTGTATAATAAT